TTAGTATATTTTAACATAGTTATTTGGCGACATAGGAGTACGTAATAACAGGTTATAAAACGAGCTGACATTAATTTTCTGATTGGCGATTTAGTTACGAATGCGCCTGTCCTTGGGCAAATATATTACACAGGTTCTCAAAATGGATAAGTGTTTTATAGAGTCATTTACTTGATTTTAAGTGTAATAAATCATAGAATCTTGGATCGTTTCCTGTGACACTTCCACGTTACATTGACTGTGTTTGTGTTTTGGTTGGTGTGATTTGTTCCCATGAAACAATCAGCCCAAGAAGGCATACTAAATTTTAGCATCAGGTAATTTTAGAGGTGGACAATGCAATCTAGTTTTTTTGTTTATTTATATACTTTTTATTAGGCGCTTCATTGATACATAACATTGTTATGAAATTACATTGAGTTGTACTATTCCTGTATTCTATTATACATATATAGTAGTACCTCTTTTTTATCTTACAAATGGTAACAAAGGAGACCACTTTTTCTAGATGTGAAACCATCTTGTTTTACATTTTTGCAATATCATTTTCACATTGGTGAATTCTTATACAATAAGATAGGAAGCCAACAAAAATTAGCTCCATTTCCTTCATTTTGCAAAAGTATATATGTTTTCTTACCAACATCTGAATAAGATATAATCATACATAATCTACTTGGAGGTGACTTTAATTTAAGTGTTTCCCCCACCAAAGAAGATCTCACCCCAGAGAGATATAACATATTGACATTCATAAAACAGATGTTCATAGCTTTCGGCTTCCCCGTCACAGAATGTACACTGTTGTCTGCCATACTTCTGAGGGTTTATTTTGTGTAATTTTTGGTTTGTATATAAAATATTATGAAGGAGCTTGAACTGGAACTCTCTCATTTTGCTCTCAGTTGTCATTTTCATCATAAGTTTATATCTTTTTTCCCATTCAATGTACCCCTCAATTCAATTTGTAATTTGTTTTGGCTTGCAGGGATAACAAATGACCTTTCACATAATTATTTTTTTGACAGCTTTCTTAGTTAAGGTTTCCAATTCCATAGGAATTTCTGTAATTTTGAAATAAGTAGATTCCAGATCTGCTTCTCCATACTTTAAATCCCCAGGAATAGCTGATGCTAAACCTAGCCATCTTAATTTATGTATTAGGGTAAATTCCTCCTGTGCTATTGACTGCCACGGTATCAAACCATTTGCGTCAAAAAGATCAGATACTTTCATTATTCTATTTCGAACAAAGTCCTCTATATACCGATTTTCCTCCAATCAGTATTTTTTAATTATTCCATATGATTTGATCTTTACCCTGTTTATATACTTTAATTTCCTGTGCCCATATATCCAAAGTCTCTGTGACAAATTCACCGGCAAAACCTTAGTATTATAATTGCACCTGAAGATCACCCCCCCCCCCACTGGTTCAAGCTGATTGTCTAGAAATAGTTCCCAGGGATGGTTAAAGTCCGGATCTAAATAATGTTTGATCCAAGGAATCTTTTGTTGTTTTTTCATGATATACAGGTTCGGCATAGCCTCCCTGGCCTACGTCTCCCATCATTGTACTTCTAGCTATTTTGTCTTTGCCTTCCCACAGGAATTCATACATAATTTTGTGCTCTTCCTGAATAGTCTGTTTTTTCAAGGTAATTGAATTTAGAATATACGAGAATTGTGATATTCCAAACGTTTTTATAATCAGTACCTTTCCAAATAAGGACAGTTTTCTTCACTCCGAATATACTTTCCTTTTTATTTCTCCATTTTCCTAACCAAGCTTCCTGTGATTTTTTAAAATTTATTTTCAGCCCTGAACAAGATCTAAATATATTAAGCAAGACGAACAGTGCGCCAGCGGATTCCACATCTGATACAAAACACGTCATATCATCAGCAAATGCTGCAACTCTTATTTCGGTTCCCCGTATTTTAATTCCGGATATATCATGTTTTTTTTAATGCTAGCAATGAAGGTTCTAAAGCTAACACAAATAACATTGGAGACAGAGATCACAGACAGAGACAGATCACATTGTCTCACTCCCCTTCTCAATTCAAAATAGCCTGTACTGAACCCATTGTTCATTACACACCCTTTAATATTACTGCACAGTGTAGTTATCCACTTATAGAATGTTGGCCCAAAATTAAATTGCTCAATAACTCTGAAAAGATACACCCAATTTACCGTGTCAAACGCCTTTTCAAAGTCTATTGCCAGTAGGATACTTCCCAGATTGGCTTCCCTTGTATAATGGTATATCTCATCTATCAATCTTACATAATCATTTATATTACGTCCTTTAACAAAGGCCGCCTGTGTTGGATCTTTAACTGGGGTATTACTGGGTTTCGCAAGACACTTGGAGGCCATTTTGATGTCTACGTTCATTAGGGAAATGGGGCGCCAGTTCTTCAGATATAATTTATCCCGACCAGACTTTTCAATTAGGGTTATCATACTTTGTTTTTGGGACTCTGAGGACTCGCCCTTGTCAAAGGCATAGTTAAGTGAATCAACAACTAGCTTCCCTACCATAGGCCAGGAAGCCTTATAAAATTCAACAGTCAGCCCGTCATTTCCAGGACTTTTATTTTCTTTCATAAGTAGTAAAATATCAAATACCTCTCTTGTCCTCAATTTTCCTTCACATATATCTTGTGACCGATCAGACAGTCTAGGAATTTCCCGATTCTGCAGAAACCTTTCAATTTCCTGTCTATTAAGATTTTCTTGTCTGTACAAATTTGTATAAAATGATTTAATGTCTTTTAAAATGTCCTGTTCTTGGCTAATCTCTGTAAATTCACTTGTTCTCAGCTGTTTGATAGTAGATTTGTTCTTGTTTGCTCTCTCCAGGCTCAGAAAATACTTGTTGTTTTTCTCACCTTTCTCATACCATATCGCTCTAGAGCGTAAGATTGAGCCTTCTGTTATAACATTATAGAGTTCTTCTAATTCTCTAGTTAAATCTTCATGGACTAAATAATTTTCCTTATTAGGATTAACAGAACAGCTGACCTGTGCTACCCTTATTTTATTTTCTAATTGTTTTACATTTTCTTTATTTTCTTTGGACTTTTTCTTACTGTATGCAATTGTAACATTTCTAATTATATATTTAATCATATCCCATAACAATAGTTTATCCTCCATCTCTTTCAATTCCTCTGTATATTCATTTATTTTATCTTTTAATATATTATTATACTTCTCATCTCTTGTTAAAGCTGAAATAAATCTCCAGTAGGCAGGCCCACGTTTCTCGGTTTTATCATCGATACTTAATAATATTGCTGAGTGGCCTGGGGCTATTCTTGGTATTATTTCTATTTTTGTTGTTATATTTTGTAAAATCTAATCTACTCTACTCTGTTGAATGAAAGGATGCCTGCGTCACCAGGTAAAATGTTTCTCCTCCATACATCTATCAAATTAAACTGATCTAAGACATCATTAAATATTTTAATGGAGTGCTTCCAAGGTCTTGCATAACTGCCCGATCGGTCTAACTTGTTGTTCACTGTGAAATTTAGGCCCCCTCCCCATATAACTGCACAGTCTGGGATTATA